AGTCACAGAGTTGGACTGGATGATCACAGCATTTGAGTCAGCATGACCATTCCTGTGGATCTGTAATTCATGAACTTTGAGCATTTGGCATTAGTAGGAGTGTGTCTGGCACCATGCACTGACACTTAGTTGGCCTGGGAGGAGAGGGAAGGGGAAGAAGAGAGAAGAGAAAGAGGCTACTTCACATTTTCAGAGTTGCAGGATTCACTTTGCAGAGATACTCTAAGCAAATTTTTAAGTACCTGGGGGTGCTAGTTCTTGTGGCCTGCAGTGTTTCAGTTTACAAAACAAATCTGCTTTAAATCCCCTTGAGTATCAGTTGTTGAAAACTTCTACTCCCCTCTTTGTACGTGCTTGTTAAAATTTCACAAAACTCTGTTCAGTTATGAAAAGAAACAAACCTGACCTTTCATGGCCATCACCATCATTTGCCCTACAAGAACAGTGCATAGGTGGCTCCCGACTTATTTCCAAAACATTTGCCAACTGTGCCCCCGGTATCAGCATTGGGAACCCCCACGGTGCCACTCATGGCTGGGGGGGGATCCCTTCTCCCCAGGGGCACAGCTGCCCCTCACACCAGCTGGCCCCTGTGCTGAAATCCAGCCTTTAGCATGGGCTTTGCATTCAAACCTTAGCCAGGACTCGCCTGTAAATCCATCAGACTTAACCAGGAGATTCCTAAGTGGCTCTGGCTGTAGTTTGCAAATTGCAGACAGATTTACATTACCAACCTGTGTTTACAACTGAAATGGCAACATAAAAATACAATTTTCTGCTTATGTTTAGACTTAGCTATCATAACACCTTCCCACATCCCAGTGGCTAAAAAATGATGAAATTATCAGCAATTATCATTGCCTGCAGCTAATTTTCGTCATAGGTTAAACAGGAGCTTAAAAAGAAGCCTACAGACGGGAGTCCTGTGCATTTGTACAATTTATAGAGCAGAAGTGCTGATGATAGTAGAAATTTGAGCCCTTGAGTGCTACTCTATTTCATAGCCAATCAAAACTAAATTAAGAAACAAAGATTATTAAAAAGTCTTCTGTGCATGTAATTCTGGCATAATATTATGAGGTGGACATTAAATTTTTCCCTCCGAGACTTTCAACATCATTAATATAGCAT